TCCATCTAGCAAAGGAGACGCTGAAGGAGGTGATGAAGATAGCCAGTGCTGACGGTGAGCATTTCAAGCCTCTGCGTGGGCTTCAGTGGGGCATGTCTTGCTTAAAGGTCTGTGCAGGTATGTCCTATCCCCTGGGGCTGGCGTGCACATGAACGGGCTCAGGTGGGACATACCTCTCCAATGGATGTATGGTACAGGGGTGCATTTCAGCCATACGTACGTCCCTTTACGTGTTTGGCCTCGTCTAGCAGGAGAAGTCCTCTTGTGAGGTCTGCCGTTTGAACCCATTGGTTTGTGATGGTCTAGCTGCGTTCCTCATATGCTCATAGATCACCTAGTCTGACCTTCTGCGTAACACAGGCTGGAGAAAAAAATCACCCACTGATTCCTGAGTGAGCCCTTATCCTTCCAGAAAGAAGAGTGTCTTTGATCCCAGGAATTCAGTGGGAACCACCCTGCAGCCAGGTTGAATTTTAAGGCTACAGGACTGTGTAGTTTAGGGGAATATTTTCAAAGGGACCAGGAGCAGTGAGGGGCCCAATTCCCATTGGAAAGAGAATGGGAGCCAGACACCTAACTCCCGTTTGTACGTCGGAAAATCTCCCCCGAGCTCTTTAACGTCCCTCCTTGTTCTCCCTTTTCCGCTCTCTCCATCGCTCCAGTTTCTGCGGGCAGTTCTTTGGGACAGGGACCTCGCCTTCCTACCCGTCTGTAAGGCAATTAGCATGACTGCTACAGCTGTGTAAACAGGGATGCACACTTAATAATAGCGCTCTGTGTGCCTGAGACATGCATCCCCGATGGCAGCCTTCGATTGCCTTACCTTGCTACAGATACATTCCTCTTGAATTCAGAGCCTCTCTTGGCAGGGCAGGGGAATTCTAAACCAGCATTTGTAGTCACTTTTCACATGCTATAATACTGATACCATGGTGCTGGGGTTCTCAGCCTTTCTCACACAGCAGATTTCCCAATCTGAATAGAGCTGGGTGACTGCAAACCCTTGACTCCTCTCCATCACCTGGGGGTCCAGGCTGAGAACCCCGAGATACAGCACAAAGGTTTTGTCTGTCTTTCTCTCCGTTCGTTTCTGTCCATCATTCTTTCCACATCTGAACTTTGCTTTATCTTGCAGACAACGGGAAGGTGAATTTCAGAGAATTCATAACAGTTTTAACCCAACTACCTCATTTTCCTGAAGTTACAGGTGAGTAAGAGCTTTCAAGGAAATAAGGATCGGGCGGGGGGTGGGGGATCAGATGTGGAATTTCATTTCAATCATTTGGGGCCAAATTCTGCTCTGTGACAACAATCTGAGTTATTCCGCCAATGGCAATGCAGTTATACAGTGCAACAGTTGATTGCCCAGAACTTTCCCATCTACCCAGGTGTTGCTGGGAAAGGGTTAAGCAGAACCTACTCTGAGGCAGGTAGCAAGGGAGGTGGGAGTGGCTCTCTGTAGAAGGAGAGGATCAAGGGTATGGGCTGAGCAGTCCTCTGGGAGGAACCCTGGAAGCGGCCAAACATGATGAGAAGGCTTGAGCAGAACTTTATGGGTCTGACCCAAAGCCATGGAGTATTTCCGTTGGCTTCAATGGGCTTTACATCAGGCCCTTTGTTGTTTTATGGTTGGTTTCTTTGGGTGAGGTTCTCAAAAGGGGCCAGTCCCCAGCAGGAGACACCATAAAGGTTCCTGACGTTCAGAAAGTGCCCCGCATCCACCCTCTGAAAATCATCCCCCTTCTGTGGGTGCCTCAAGGTGGGGGCCCCAAAAATCACTGGTTTCTTTTGAAAACCTCACCTGAAAACCAGACCTGAGGATGGGGAGGTGAGTTCAGATTCAGCACAGCATGTGGGCTGTGATTGAATATGTAATTCTGGGGGCTGGGGTGTTGTGCACATGAGGGAATGAGGAGGGGCAGGATTGTTTGGCCCCTGTCTTCCCCAATCCTCTCAAGAGTAAAGCGAGACGAATTTTGCACTGAAGCTCTTGTGTGGACAGAACTCTTTGTGTTCCCCGTGCACGTTGCAGTACTGAAGGACGCCTTCAATGCGATGAGCGGCATCAAGGACGATCACATCCGTGTCGATGCGCTGGACTCCACCCTGGCGAGCATGGGAATCGTTTTAACGGAGGAGGAGCTACACGAATTACTGGCATCGGTTACGATCGCTGGTGAGCACGCCAACTTCCTTTCCACTGGTGAACTGCATGCGTAGGCAGGCCAGAAGTGAGCACGTAGGGCCTTTCCAGCGATCTGTGTGTACGAGAGCACGTGCTAGCCTGTGAAAAGAGAAACTTGGTCTGTGATAAGCCTTCTGTTGTGTAGTTAGAAATCCTGATTCGCTAGTATATGAAATTGTAATAATAATACCCAGCTCTTCTATAGCGCTTTTCCTCCATAGATCTTCGAGGGCTTTATTTGGGAGGTCAGTAGCATTATCAGTAGCGTAGCTAGTGGGGGAGCGGGGCAGCGGCTGCTCCCCCACTGAGCACAAGTGGCGCCTTGTCAATTTCCTGGCGCCTTGTCAATTTCCTGGCGCCTTTGTACTCACCTGGGGGAGCGATTTAAAAGAAAGCGCCATCCGCTGTGGCGCTTTTATTTTACTCACCCGGCAGCGCTCCTGG